TACCAGAATGTCAGAGGACTCCGAACCAAATTAAAAGAATTTTTAGTGTCTTCTGCAACCCATTAAAGTGACGTATTATGTATTTCAGAATCATGGTTAAACTCCTCAATCAAGGACGGTGAAGTGGTGGATAGTTGCTATACAATTTTCAGAAAAGATAGAGATATGTTAACTAGTATTCATGAACGGGGTGGAGGCGTATTTGTTGCTACTAAGCGAAGTCTTTCAGTGGAACCTGTAACCATAAACGGTGACAGTATAGAACAAGTGTATGTGAAAATTAGAGGTCATGGAGGAGACTTAATAGTCGGATGTGTGTACATACCCCCTCAAAGTCGTATTGATATATACATTAACCACCTCGCAACTGTATCATATATTAGAAAAAAATATCTCAATTCCAGAATAGCGATTCTTGGTGATTATAACATCAATAGCAGCTCGCCGCAATCAATCAATCATTCTGGACAAATCCCTAGAGACAGGCAATTTTCCATCAGCCATAAAATATCTTACGTTACTCCCATACATAAATCAGGTGATCAATCTAATGTTACAAACTTCAGACCAATATGCATTCAGTCAGCGTTGGCCAAATTGTTCGAAAAAATAATTCTTCCACAGTTAACATTTGCATTCAGAAACATAATTACTACTAAGCAACATGGATTCCTCGGAGGCAGGTCTATAACCACAAACCTATACATTTATATCGGCGCAATTCTCTACTCGTTAGGCAAGGGACGTAATGTTCATGCATTGTATACCGACTTTAGTAAGGCTTTCGACATGGTGGACCACGAATTGTTATTAAAAAAACTGAGTGAATATGGAATTAAACACAAAGCACTCCAGTGGCTTCGCTCATATCTCACCGGCAGACACCTGCGCGTGCGCGTAAAGGGTCACTTGTCAAGAGAGTACGACGCTGTATCTGGAGTCCCGCAAGGGTCACACCTTGGCAAAATTTTATTCAACATTTTATAAACGATATCGGTGATAGCTTCAACTCTGAATACTTATTATATGCGGACGATCTGAAATAAAGAATACAACGTAAATTTTGTAAATTTATGCTTTACTTCACACATGCCGAAAACACTATGACTATTGATAATATCTACAGCCAATTCAATGTCTCCAATCTGATGAAAAGAAGACAAGTGACTGACCTGACCTTCTTCTTTAAAGTTGCTAATGGTATAATTGATTCTCCGGAAATTCTAGCTGAGACTGGTTTCATTTGCTCAAGGGCAGAACTAAGAACGAGGAGGCTTCTGGCCGTGGAAAAGTCTACTAAAAACTATGTCTTCTCCAGCCCAAAAAAATAGAATCAATCGCCTGGTTAACAACTACTCGTCGAACATCAACTTCTTCGGAGCCTCCTACTCTTCATTTCTTGCCGACGTCAAAAAACTTGTCTTGCAATAATATATATTTAATTATTTAGTAATTCCGTCACTATTGAAATAATAAGTCTTTGGTAATTTGTGTCTTATGTGTTTCCTTTCTTTAATTATGTATTTTTAACAAATTGTAAAATGCCGATTGGCGTAAAATTCACAATAAATTAAATTAAAATACCATGAGACGCGTATTGCAAAACAAAAATAAAAATATTACTTAAAAAGCTATGACGGGGCTTTGAAGCCGTGAAATTGCGAAAATAACGCATGTGAGCCAATCGACTGTTAGCTGTATTATTAGAGACACTACTAACATGCAGATTTCAAAGAAAACCGTGGATGGAAGCCGAAAATATTCGAGGTAGTAGCACGAAAAATGAGGCGTTTAATAGCGCTAGACAGAATATCTATCGCTAAAGAAGCTGTGGGGTGCGTTAGTGGGGATGCTAGCGTATGGGCCGTGAGAAGCATGCTTCATAAAGCAGGATTGAAGGAGATGTTGAAGAAAAAAAGCCACTTCTGTCGACCAAGGACATTAATCTAAGGCGAGAATTCTCAGAAAAAAAGTATTGGACTGATCCAATCAAAAAGGTCCAGGTATTTTTGTAATGTCCGTCATTACAAACTTTGCCTTAATGTTATACACAATTATAGGTTATTTGGTCAGATGAGACCAAATAATTTCCCGAGTTAAAAGCCCTTCCTAAAGGCCTTCCTAAGAGTCAAGAGGCCTTCCACTCTACATTCCTTTCTCCTTTCTTTTTTTGTATGGAGTGGCACAAATTGAAGGGCTTCTTCTTTCGCTACCCATGGAAGGCCTTCCAGAAGGGCTTTTATAGGACATACTTCAGAAGGGCGTTCGGGGGAGTTCTTTTAAAGTTGCTTCTTTAATTTATAAAAATTATACATCTTTAAAGTATTTTTGCTTGCGGTTTATATCAAACATGTGTTATTGCAACTTGAAATGTTTATTGAAATTCATTTGTAATGCTAAATAATATAAATTTATGCATTCGCGTTAAATGTAAATGGATAAGCCCTTCTAGAAGGCATGCAATGAAGCACTTTTTCAGCCATTCTTGGGTAGACCTCTTAGAATGGCTTTACTTAAGAAGGCCTACCTAAATTATCTTCTGGGTAATTTATAACAAAATCCGGGCCTTCGACGGAGTAAAACGGGTTGCAGCGAGTTGCAGGGTAGCAATATCTCTTCTAAATTGTATGGGTGCAAAATTGAGTCAATGTGTTAATTAAAAAAAATGATGGAGTGCATGTTCGTTAGCAAAATTTAATATTTTCGTATTCTTATTTTTAATATATATCAAAACAATGGATTACAATTTTGCCAAGGAACCACCGAAAAACGCATAAATTGTGATTTTTTTTTATTATTGACTCAATTTTCCACCTAAGTGTATACGGTACATAATTAGGGATACTATTTCTTTATAAATTTTGACCATTCATTTGAGAACTTGCGTTGATTTTTGAGAATTTTCAACAAATAATGTTAAAAAGGGTTTTATATATATAGTTATAAATTAATAAAGAAAAATAAATGGTAAAAACTTGTAGTGTCCCTAATATGTGTAAATATTACCTCGTAGGATTGTGTCAACCCATATAAGTTTGTTTAGTGGTTTTCTCTCTCATCTTCCGTCCCAGTTAAACTGCAACAATGCCTCGTCCGAAAATAAGTGTTTAATATTTAATGCTGGCGAGGTCCTCAGACACACTTTTTATTTTTAAGATATAAGTGGCCTTTTGAAGAATTTATGTACAGCAATTAGAACGTGAAATATGTATTCCATAATGTAATCCATTACCATGGCTTGTGCATACTCTAGATCTTTTAATTTTGTTTCTATTAAATCTTCAGCGCAACAGGACTGCAGTGGTAAAGAACCGGCGATGTGGATGCAATGTTTTAACATTGGATTCGTAAATCCGTTTTCGTTGGTCATTGCGTTACTAAAATCACATTTATTCATTTTAAATGAAATATTTTATAAAACTTATCTTTATTTTTCCACAGGACTTTGAGATTTAAGCGTCTTTTCGTTTTGCGACTTTATTTTTTCTGTTGATGTGCGCATTTGAACTTCTTCAGTACCAAGAACTTTATAATACCGTTTTATTTATTACGTTTATATTGTATACCACAATAAAAACTTTTACATTTACTTACTTTTGTTATGAACGGGTTCGAAAAAATGGTAAAATTATCGTTTAAACTAATTAGGTACAAAGTTATATCAAAGTACTTCAGTACTCGACATTATTTGGCAGGTAAAACTACTTTTGTTGAGCACAAAAGGCAGGCCTAGTAAATCTTGCGGTGACTTTTCAACCAACTACCGTTACTTCTATCAGCATTGCTACTCACTTGATCGATTAAATGACAGTCATTCGCTCTAGGGCCAAACTGACATATACAATTTTGCATATGTGTTAGTTTTCGTTGTGAATGTGTTGGAGTTTCTGTCAATCTGTTGTTGGACTGCAGAGTTCAAATCTGTTTCATATTTGCCAGATTGTTTTGTGCCAGTGAATGCTATTGAAGGTCCTGGTTTTTTAATACTACTTCCACCACCACTTTTAAAAAACTGCAAATTATTGTCGTTTTACGGATAATTTGTGTTTGCTCTTATTTTTTTTTTATTATAAGACATCATGGAAAATATTCATTATGCACTGTTTTTGGTCATTTACGCTTCTACGGGCTCTATCAGAATTATTTCAAAATTTTTAATATTTCGTTACAACAATCCTTAAATTATCTTATTGAAAAATTCTATTATTCTTCGGCCATTATATTTTCTCAATGCCGCACTTGGCGACTTCGTCTTGAAGCAATTCGTTTAAACTTATTGGGCCGTATGCATACGGTGACCATTCGTTCCGATTTTGGCGAGACAGTACCTACCGATGTTGTGATAAATTTAGTTCAGAACTTTTCTTCCATGTGGTTGTTGTTGCGTCTCTCCCCCAGATAGAGAAATATAACAACAACCCCATGGAAGAAAAAGTTCAGAACTATAACGATGTATCCGCCTTTACCCTTGCGATATTTATAAAATTGTTTTTATTTATTTCTGAATTTTTGTAAACGCTAGATAATTTTATTAGAGAAATATCAGCTTGTGTGTCAACAAGGAATGAACAAACGTTATTTTAATGGGCACAACCTATTTCTGTAGTTTGCATTTTCTTCCCCCTACTTCCGCAGTTGAGGGGCCGCAGCGTTTGAAGCCCTGATAGTGGCATTTATATGTCGGTTATTGCTTTAACGAGTATTGTTACTGCGATTAAAACCACTGCTTCTATTATTGTTGTTGTGATTTGTGCGATAACCTTTAAAATTGTTGTTATTTAAGCGATGACTTTGAAAATTGCTATTTGAATGAAAGCTTTGAAGGTTGTGTTGTTTGCGATTGCAGTTTTTAATAAAACACAATTTTTCTAGTATGCGAATAATGCGCTATACTTTTAAAATTTTGTGTATTTCTGCGTCTTTACTGCTGTGCTGTACAACTTCAACTTTTTTCTACGACATGACGTGATATTGAATTTGATGAGGACCGTTAGGCTGTATTCCTATGTAAATCAAAGTGTACATGATGTGTGTGTATCTAAATACATGCATTATACCTTCTCTTTTACATACATATATATAACAGTACAAAACAGAAAAGAGATTACTTTTAAGCACAGCAGAAATGCTAATTTAATACATAAGTAACATAATAACATAGGAACTACACTACTCAGCTTTACTTATCGGCGGCAATATCCCCTGGCCCGTAAATGAGTCCGGCTTGACGAGTTTACTCCCAGAAGAGCCGACGTCTAACACTGCGATCTTGGTAGCTGGGCGGTGTAGTATTCCTGAAGTAGTTTTCACTTCCGCGCTGCGCACCTGT